TTGATTCAAAACGCACATTTTGAATATAGCTCAAAATAATCATTGAATCGCAATCGGGTAATCTTTTCGCAACAACGCAACCACAAAGCTCATTCAAATTCACCTCAGAACACACCAGGCAACCATCGATCACCTCAGAAAGAATTTGAGTCTCCGAATAAACGGAATCGAGTTTGAAGCATTACGGACAAATGAATCATTATTCTCACCAATTAATTTCATCGACTCCTTGTGCTTATATTGAGCTGCCTCATCCAAAAGTCTGTACGCAGCCTTTTTGGCTTCGGTCGATGCCGACCTTCCTTTATCCAGAAAACGCATCGCAGTTGTATACAACTCTTCAGATCTTTTCTCATCTGCTGACTTTTGCGTTGAACTAAAACAATCGAAAATTATCAGATATAAACCGATCGAGACTGTTGTGGATAAAATTAACAATGAACGTTTCTTTCAAACAAATTCATGTGAAAATAAATTTCAAGCTAACAAATGAATTTTCAGAATGAAATCACGATTTTCGAATGATTTGAAAACAAGTGAAAAAAATGAAAGAAGCGATATATTCAATTAACATATTCAGTTATTCAGAAGGGTAAGTATTTACAACGTTCAGATTAAAATACTTCAGAACATTAATTATAACTCATCCAACATCATCCATATAATTAATGGTTCAAATAATAACAAAAAATACCCAGTTTTTGTGGATGGTGACACTCCTTCGGGGGTGTACTCATCTCCGGCCGATGGTACGTCCTCTTTTGCCCTATTTGATTGGGCCATTTTATCGATTTCGGCATCACTCAATTCCAACCGATCTACAATTCAAAGCATTCAGTCTGATCATGTCGAAATCAACAACTAACCATTTAGGATAGATCACTTGAAAAAATGAGCAACTTTGCAATAAACAAACAAAAACTTGAACGAATAAAAATCTTACCAAAATCTGATGTTTTGCTTGAAACAGCTTCGTGTTTTTGATGATCTTCCTCATGATCACTCTCTGATGTGCTTGTTGTTTCAGCCTCTCTAACATCGTCTTCCTCCTTCAAAGAACATCGTCAATCTTAAAGCACTCACTCAAAACTTTAAGGCATCCCAGCAGCCGATATTCTGTGTTCGCCCTGTGACAGTCGGTTAAAATCCCAAGATTACTGGAAAATTGGAAGATCTGAAACGCAACACACGATCAGAAAAAATTACCGTGTCAGTGGCTTCGGTGTCGGTGTGATGCGATTCCTCTTGATGGGTTTCTTTCGACGCTGATTGCACGCTCAAACTTGGTGTGATCAGGGAAAAGGCCAAAATCAGAACATAAAACAGACCCAACTGCCTCAGAATCATTACCTCAATTCAAAATCACCATCAAACATGAAATAGCACGAAGTGACTTAAGTCGATCGAAGGATTCCGTGTCAATTTAGAAAACCTTCTTCCGGTCAGGGAATCCCTTATCAATGAATTCAATCGTGCAGTCACGCGATGCGATGCAACAAACAATTCTATGCAAAATATCGCGATTTGAGAGTAAATGTAAACCGGTCGTCTCATTAATATGGTAATGAATTCAGTTAGTTTTGAATGGCAAACTATTGTTCAATTCCACTTCAGCACAAACATCAGCATAATTGGAAGTTTACTCGCACTTCTGGTTTGCTGACGTTGCTTTGGCGTTAATTCAAACGAACCAAAAAATGGTTCAAGATGATTGTGAAACGCAAAATTGAATGGTGCAATATTTCAGCATAACGGTGAACGACGATGCTGAGTTAATTACCAAATTTCTTGAAAATCATTTGCAAGAACACGTCAGAGGTATGAAAAACCGGATATGAGCACATTTATGTTATCAAAAGTTATCATTTCGCCACAAGCAGTTCTCTTTGCCAAATTACGTCTCATTTGTGATAAAGGATACTTATGATAATCTGACAGCGGAGTTCGATCCAAATACCTCAGTACATCGTGATGTTCATCGTAAAGACTCGACACACACACACCTTTCGAACATAACAACCGTCAAAATTTGTGCCACAATAGAATACAAATGAATATCTCTGCTATAGAGGATTTCATAATCAGCTCGTTGACTTGTGTGTTTTCAGATTGTTCAGAGTATGCTCACTCAAATCGGTGTTAAACACCATTAAGCTGCTACGCGAAATTGAGCATACAGCTTGACTGAACACAAGTGACCATAGCAAACGAACGAAGGGTTACAGTCATTCAACGGATAGTCTCTTTCTTGCTTGCGTATGGTTATCTGGCAGTGGAGATTCGTCTTCATGTGAATATAATATCCTAAGTTTAACATCCAAACCTGTGTGTATAAGTCGACAAAGTAGGAATACACATTGTGAAATTCTTCAGTATTACGTAACGGAGTTGCACGGTTCTTCAGCGATATATCTTCAGGCACAATAAGCATGATTCATTAACTAATCCGTGTTACTGCATCAACGACATAGAATTTTCAACATTGCTCTCCAAATTTAAGCGTTCTGATCACACGAAAGTGATAGCGATTAAATCGTATGTACTTGTAAATGGTTTTCGCTGTTTTCGATCATATTCGGACAACTGAGTGAACATTCATTTGGAAACTGATATTCACTTTGCAATGTACGTGACAGAGTATGATTTCAAGTTATGCTCAATCTTTCAATCATACAGTATCTCAGTGGTACTGATCAAAATGTGCCTACATTTTGATCAGTAGGGCCTGATGACTTCGAAAGTATTCCATATTTTGAGTCGCCAATTCTACGAGTGTAATGCTGAGGTGAATAACTGTACAATAAAGGACACACGCAGCGATGGCTACGACAATAATAATTCAATAGTTTGATATGGTGATCTGTGTGTTTTTATTTTGACGGCCGTATATCTTTGGGCTTTATTATGAAAAATAGTTCACTTCCGTCTGAATGAATCGTTCAGCTGAACCAATAATGCATTATCCATTTTCACTATGACGTTTGAACAATGGCATGGGCAGCATGGCAACAACAGAAATATAATTTCCTCAAAAATGCCAAAGTGGGGAAGCAGCCGTTCTATTTGAATATTTCAAATAGCATTCATCAGTTATTTCATATGCTTCTTACTGATCTCTCGTATTTTATTACTAATCTATTTGTACACTCGTTCAGTAGAAGTAGTAGAAGTAGAAGTCACTATGGTTTACATATAAACCATTCCTATCATACAATTACATTTGAATCACTTTTTTCAGTTTTCTTTGAAATTTGAAAATCCTTCTGATCTACTGCGAGATCTTTAACGATGTGTCATTCGAGTTTTGGAATCATTTCGTAAGTACTCTTCAATCAGCAATCTCTCTCTTCGGATGAACTCCTATCCAGATAATACGTTTTTCGTATTGATAATATTTAATCATATTATATAAGTTGTAGCGTATGGATGACGATCCGATAAAACAAAACAATCAGTCACTCAAATCAACTTTATAATAATCCTATATCTTTCAACAACAACAGTTTGAAGTTGAAATAATTCGAGGATAGAGATGATGAAGTCAATGCGAAACGTTGAAACAATCCTGCTCAATGATAAATAAACAAACGACGATCGGATATTATTATTACTATTCATGACGAATGTGCATTCTTTTATTTATGTGTGAGTCCTTTTACGGACAGAATGAAAACTTAATGGTTCTTTATGGAGCTCAAATAATCCCTATTGAAAATTAACCCATCCGAGGTTGGATTACTGGAGAGTTCGAACATTGTTCGCTTTTCTTATTGAAAACAAAAAGCCATATCTCCTCACCACAACCAAATTGTTCGATAGAAATGCTGAGTAAAAATGGAATACGGAAAATTCACCGAATTCTTCTCAACATTCAACAACTTCAGCCGTGAAATCGAAATGATTCATTCGAGTGCTTTCGTCGTCAAACTGTAACCGAAAAGCGGACGTGAAAAAGAAGGCGAGCATTGTGAAAAATTCATCGGATCGACAAAGATAACTGATTTAGAAAATCAACGCAAACAGAAAATCAACGAAAAAGTTTTATCAATTTATTTTATGTCACAATTGCAGAGTTCCAATTGAACTCGATTGGAACAGCGAATGAACACTCTTCAACGACGATTCATATCAACTAATCAATGAAATACGAATAAAAAATTGAACCGAGAACATCAAGTCACTAATCATTATCGTATTCAAAATACAATAAGATAATATATTAATAAAATAATCAAATCATCTACAGAATCTAAAATCGATAACATCAGAACAATTTTATTATCAACCATTAAGTGATGATATCAAAGCAAACAAACAAAACCGTTCGTTTAATCACCGTCGTACAAAAAACACTATTAATAAACAATTTAAGATATACATTTGAAAATTCCAATCATTTGACGGTTCATTCGTATAACTGAAAGAACAATAGCATTTTTTTTCTCCTTTTTTTTACTTCTATTGAAAGTATTCCTTCCGAACATCGAAAAAGAAAAAAAANGGGGGGGGGGGGGTGGACAAGGAAAGGTGTTCAGCCGTCAACAGAGATTTGGGGGAGGTTCGCTCTAGGCAGCCGGTAGCGATTACTGTAGAACTGTTTGTTTGAGAAGCGCGATTGCAGGTGAGCAGCGATTGATTCGATTGAAGCAACGAATTCCGGAAGAAGATAGGCCGCGTGCCGACGCAAAAGCACGCCTCCTCTTGTTTTTGATTGGCTGATGCACACGAGGATAGTTTGGTTTACTGTAGTTGCAATAATATAATAATGGCAGTAGCACTAGACGATACGACTGACGCCCATCTAAACCTGCTTCTTCTTCGATGGCGTAACTGCAATAAACACATTGCTTACTGTATATGATTCGGAAATGTAGCATACAGTAAACGTAATAAAATATAACTAGCACAGCAGGATTTGTTGCATCAGTTGAACGAGTAGTTACATTTCATGGAGAACAACTTTGGTTTCGAACCGGAAACTTAATTCATTTTTGATCAATTACTTTCAAATGCAGACGTCAAATGGACACTGTGCTGAGTTGGCAGTAATGATCGAAAAAATGCTCAGCGTTCAAAAGCAAATGGATGAGCATTTTCATGAGCANATTCTCGAAATTCTACCTATTTCTGTGTCTAAATTCTACCTATTCTACCTAATTGTTTCAAAAAATGATCATCTTACAACAATCGAATAGACAGTGCAATTATTCGGTAGGTACGATGATCGGAGATCATTTTAGTATTCGCAAGAAATCGCTCAAATATGATCGTTACAAACGGCATAAAAATAATGATAATCAATGAAGAAACAACTGATACATCTTATAAAAACAATACGGGTTCTTATTAAAAGCAGAAAGATTCAAATTAATATTCAAAATGAAAACGGGCCGCTTACCTCGGATGTTGTGAAATCATTGTTAGATCAAGGAAACAAATAAAATATCATTCAACGCTGACTTCATGCTATCAAACCATTCAACAAATGAGAACTTCTCAATGTACGGTTCAGACTGGATTGAAATGAAGGCAAACTCACCTGTATGATACTACGACTGTACCACTTTTGCCGCATCATACAGATGCATCTCTCGCGTCTTCACATAACTTCAATCATGCAAGCTCTGTTGGATTTCGTTCACATTCAACATTTTAACACTGTCATTGAACTGCGTCTCATTTCCTTGCACTGTTTTAGCCACACTCAAAACTGTTATTAACTCAAATTATAAGCTGTTCAGTTGACAGATTATACCGTAATCAACCGACATGATACAAATGGCATTGCTATTATTATTATCTTACATTTATTATCATTACCATGCAC